TAAATAGCTGGAGAGATGTGCATTGTAACCAATCCTATCGGTTACGTTGATTTTTTAACTATATAACCATAGAGTTGGTGATAAAATAAAATAAACCATTTCCTCATATTATAACACAGTAGCGAAAACCGAAGCAGTTCTTGGAAATGCTGGTGGCTGGAACCATTTCTTACTGTTATTGGGGAGATTAACTATGGAGGACCAGTGTGGTGAATGAAAAAATAATATGAAGGTATAAATGTAGTGTAAAATAACAGGATTTTCTTCTGAATATATATGTACCTAAATAACATTTATGCATATGTAAATTTTATATATCAGATGGGAGAACTTATATTTTAAACCTGACAGAATGAAAAGATTTTAGACATTCCATCCAAACCTGCCTCCTGTATAGTGCCTGCAGTTAGTATATAACCGAAATGTCTGATGAAAACCTCAGAGCAATTGGAATGAGCCTTAAATTACCTCCCCACAATCACCTAATTCTCCTCCCCATCTCCCCTTCCCCAAATCACAAAAATGACATCCCTCACCCCCGCAGTGTGTCAGAGCTAGGTGTAATCAAATAGAATATGGACAGAGTAAAAGTTTGCAATGGAAAGCCGGCTTCCTGTGCACAGGCTGACCGAGCCGCTGCTGGAGAAAGTGCCTTGATTAAGCTCACAGAGCCTCATTTTTGGCACATCTTTGACCGGTTAGGCTGGCCCAGATTCTGCCCAGGCTCTGCAATTCCTCATTCCTCCCAGGGAATTGTTCTGCCTCTTCCACAGCTCCTCCTCCTCCAATCAAGGCTCTGACACTGCCCATTGACCACGCTGCTTTTTCTGCCTTTTGGCACTGGGAGCTTGCCTGTTGTAGGATAAAAGTGGAATTCTCTGCTGTCTGCAAGGCTTTCCCCAGGGACCAGAGCCTGAAACCCAAACTTATATATAAAATCATATCCTGTTTGCAAACATCATATTCCCTTCGCTTCTCACTAATCTGGGCCTGTAAACCCCAGCACAGCTTGAGAGCCCATTCCTCATCTAAACAAATGCCATAAGCCCCTTTATACTTTTACAACCATGTCAAAAAATAATATTGCCTGCCAATAGTGATGTGATTGGAGTTGCCTCCTCCGAGCCATAAAAGAAGTACAGAGTCTGTTATCAATTTCTCTAAGTGTATCAGGGGAATTATGGGTCGATTCAGTTCCAAGTTATAAATGACAACTCAAAAGCCGCAGAAGCGTTTGAAGCTGGGAGCTGATGACGACATTATCATAAAAGCCTGCTCGTCCTTGCTTTTGTGGGCTTTTTTTCCCCTTTTCTTTCTTTCTTTTTCTTTTTTTTTTTGTGGCCTATCAAGTGAAGAGGGAAAAATAATGCTGAGAAATGACTTCAAGATTTCTTCACACAGCAGCAGGTCAGATGGCCAGGAAAATGATCACTATTTTTAGTGATATACCCCGAGGAGTGAGAACTAAAGTGGTCCCACACTGGCTCTCATTTCTCGAGTCCCTTAATTATCTGTCTCACTGTACAATGACCAAGTCCTGGGATTTGGTAAAATGCTCTTTTCTACTGGTGCATTTTCTTGCAGTGCAATCACACAGTAATCAGAAATGAGTCATGCCATAGTAACTAAACAAAATGAAAACCAAACACAAAGGAATTCAGAAACCTTGAGATTGTTGCTCAAAATGCAACTCAGGAGAGCATGCTTTATAAAGCACTTTAAATACCACTCACCCACTGAGTTACCTGAACAACACTGTTGCATTATCACATGGAATTGTAGGGGGAGATTTCTGATTTCATAATGTCCCAGGTAGTCTCCTCAAAAGCCAATCAATCACCAGCATTCAGTAGGTATATAATAAACCCATCTAGTAGGAAGGTATACGAGGTCTGTCCAGAAGGTATCCAGCCATGTACTATGAAAAATAGAGACATTCACTGAAGAAGATACAAGAAACATTGTACATAGGACAATGATGCTGCAGTCCCCTTCCGAGTAGGCACCTTGGGACCTCACACAGTTCTCCCAATCGCCATCAGCTGCCCCACTATATTTTCATCAATCTTATCCATGGTCTTAGATCTCTTCCCTTTCAAAGGTTATTTTAGTTTTGGGAAAAGCCAGAAGTCACCGGTCACTGAATCTGGGCTACAAGGGGGCTGAGTCACCTGATGATTTGATGTTTTGCCAAAAACTGCACAGGATGTGATGCATGAGCAGGTGCGTTGTCATGATGAAGTTGCCAATGACCAGTTGCCCATAGTTACAGCCTTCTGAATCATCCAAATAGTTTCCACAGAGGAATGTTCAAGCTTACACAAAATTGGATGCAGATTCATTGCTCTACTCACTCACTTTGAATGGGATGGCCACACAGTACACATGCTCACTCCATAGCATCTACCACCCCCACTGACAAGTACAGTGAAGTTGTCATTGTTCAAAGATACTTATTCCAGTCCACTCTCCTTGGCTGCCAAGTTATATCAATGTTGCATAAACCATTCTCATTATATTAACAATGGCTGGACTTTTTCCGGACAGACCTCATATATTCTAGGTAACTTGAATTTCCTTTAACAACTGGGGATCGTTAAGTATTTAGAATTTAAACCAAAAGGTCTACCTTAGATAATTTGAACCAGAAGAATGTCCTAAAACAAAAGATATTTCAATGGTTTCCAAGCTCACTAGGGTACCCCTATGTTGCCAAGTTGGGCCAGTCAAAGTTCACACTGAGTATCTTTCATATACTTAATATGTCTAGAACTGTCCTGGAGGTAAAAATTGAGACTAATGCAAATCCAAAGGACCCAGAGTTTCTCTTAGGGCTTATGTCAAAACCAAAGATCTTAAGGAGCAAAATGGTACCTTAATGTCTAAGAACACAATTTCATTCCTGCAGCCAACAAAAGGACTGAATCAAACTAGTTCTCTAGAGCATCAATAGGACAAGCTTGTGTACACACATGCACACACACAACCGTCTAGACCTATAAAAATACCATCTTAAGACCTGTAGGCCAATTAGATAAATAGAGGTACCTCTTTCCAGCCTTTTCCTATATTAATGCAGTCAGGCTACTCAGTGGTCCTCCTCCTGCCTCTTCCTGCCTAAGCTAGATTTTCCACCACTGCCACCATCTGGGTTAGGTCAGTGTCTGAGGACATTGTTAAGGACACCCACTGTGTCAGAAGTAGTAGATACTGTTCATTCATTGGGCACATCTAAGAGTTTACTAGAGTAGTTCTGGCTAAAGATAAGAAACTACCTCGTTATGGTTTTAGAGCAGTTGAGTGGAGGTACTTTGAATTCAAGGAATAGACTTGGCAGGCGGGTCCCAGGGAGCTGTCCTCATTTCAGCTCTAGGCTATGAAATAAATGCACTTAATGTACTTGTAAAGGAGTGGAGCTTTGATGACCACCACTCATTCAACAGTTTTCATTTCCTCCCCATCACCAGACCCACTAAGTCATCCTTAGATTTGGTTCATTCTTTGCCTCATTTGCAGGTAGGTAATCAGCCATTCTCTTAAAATGGCCACTTGGGATGTTAGACAATAATATCACAGCCAGTGACACCCATTTTAAAAGTCAGTTTGTCTTCTGCTTCCTAGAGTAATTCTGCAAGCTCCTGGCTTCACAAGAAGTTTGCTAAAATTAGCAAGGATTAATATGAGGTGGTGATTTTCCTGTGCTGGAGATCACAAAGCAAGCTCCCTGGTGCAGTTCCACAGAGGGGACTGCATTACATTGGCCATGTGGCTGCACTGCCGGGCTCCAGGGCCTGTGGCTAGCCTGTTAGAGACAAAATCTGTAGAAGGACCTGAAATGCTCTTTTGGATCTTGTCCACATGGACATGTCGCTCCACCCCAAACTTTCAGCCTTTTACCCTTTACTGTGTGTCCTCAGGACAACCACCTCACTCCTCTGAGACTTCAGGTTCTCATCTGCCAAATGGTGTTAATAACAAGGACTATTTTTACCAAGTTGTTATGAACCTCTGTTGTATGTTGGTAAAGTCCAAACAGATGTTAGTTGTAGTTGCCATTCTTATTTCTAGAGGGCAGAATCACAGGTAAATGAATAGAAAGATTATCCTTTATGAACCTAACGTCACTAAAATGAAAGAATTAGCTGAAAACATAAAAGGATTCCTTGTACAAAATTTAGTGGTAAATATTTAGTAAAATATTGCCTAATACAGGTCATACAAAGGACTAGCTTTGCTTTTTCCCTTCAATATTTAAAAAACTGAAGTGACTTAAATTTCTTAGTCCTTGGAAACCTGAGCTAGAATTATGTTCTCCTAACATGACTTAGCACTTGGTTCTACAGGATGATGGTTTATTATTGGTAAGGGTTAACTTTAAATAGATTGCAGGCTATAGGATATGTTCTAATCATCCACAAATATGTAGATATTTTTCTTCATATGTCGCTGGATTCAAACAAATATGTCTTTGCAATGTGGTATAAATATCCTGGGTCAAAAAGACTTTGTTAATTATTGAAGACAAAAATAGCCCCAAGAGGTTCACAAACAAAATGTCCCACAATGCAAAGCGCTTTGTGAAGTTTATGTGATTTTCATCAGGATTATGATGTATGTGCACGCTCAGGGTGACTGTACTGCAGATTGAATTCCACTACAAAATTGTGTTAGATCCTCTCATATTACCTTTTCTCCAGGTATATAAAGATCTAGCAATGCCAGCTCTGTGAACATGTGTCCCGTGCAGTCACACTGCGCCCTACTTTAGATGGACCCCACACTTGGCTTAATTCACTATTGTTGCCATCTTGAAATTCTTAGTTTTGAACAAGGAAATCTGTATTTTCATTTGGCATTGAGCCCTACAAATTATGTAGCCAGTCCTGCAGTCTAGGATAACTTTTACTGAGAAACAGCCTTAAACATAATTAAATAAATAAATCAAAGGAGACCTTTTTAGAAGTTTGTTATTTAAAAACAGTAAACAAACTCATACTTACCCCAAGTCCGCCACAAGGTAATGAAGAAAAAAACTTTTCAGAAGTGTCACCTACACAGTAAGAAGACATGAAAAAAATATATAAATTGGAAATGTAGTTTTTAAAATTTTAAATTTTAATATACCTAAAAACTAATTCACAGTTTTTTTTGTAAATGTTTAACAGGTATTATGTCACATGGTATTTATCATTTAACTCAGGAAGAAAGGGATCTAATTTTAGACAGGTAAAAGCCGATGGCAAATGAATAAAAGTATTATATAGGTATACTCTATTGCCCCTTATGAACAAATATCTATGACACTTCAGCTTTAAGATTTGTTTTAACTGCCCTACACATTGTATAGTACATTGCAATTTTTTTAAATTTATACTGTATCATGAATAGCTCAGCTACTCATTGACTATATCCTTGCAATGTGGTTTTGAAAGACAAGATTTATGAAATACATTGTCATTTTTTAAATGTTTCAAATATTAAAATATCTATTCAAATATACGGATTTATTTTTAATTTTTACTTTGGATATAACTAAGACTAAGTATACTTAGCCCCTCCAATATTTACAACTTTTTTAAGCAAATAAGTGAAAAATACAGTACAAAGAGGATAATACTATTTGGGGATCTATATAATATAAATATATCTTTTTAAAAACATATGCCAAAAATCTTACTTGTGACTGTCTCATTTTTAATCATTTTGGAATGTTAATCATTTTGTTTATCTGCACTTTTATTTTCTATATTATCTACTGCATGAATAGAGAAAACAAAAATAACTACTCTTAAAATTTCTTAGACCAAAATCTGCCTTGTAAAGTATTAAAAGAGAAGGCAGTGGGTGTTTCTATATTATAGTCACAAGGCTCTGAAATAGCTCTGATGGGTCGCTAGGAGATTAGCGGTAGAAACAGGTACAAACCTCCATTTCATCTTTCCCATTCCATCTGTCCTATTGATGATCAATGAAATAGTAATAAAAATTGAAAACGGGTAGGTGGTGGAATTCACATGCCATGTCAATAAAAGACTGATTAGATTTTAACATCAAAGAAAATATTTCCGTTTTGAAAACAATAAATTGTATGAGTTAATTTTTCAAATGCAATTGCTAACAGATGGAAAATGACAAATCACAATCTAAGTACAAATGAAAAAAACAGTGTGTCTCATTATATATAAGGGTCTTCATAAAAAAGGATAACAAAAAACAAGTCATGAAAAAATATTAAACCTGAAACACTGACATTAGTAAAAGATACATAAAAAAAATTATAGATAGCTTGGGGAGGGGTAAAGTTTTCTTAAGTTGTTGTTCATAACAAAGATACTTCTACATTACTGAACATTTTGCAAGGGTGTATTCATATGTCACACATGAAATTAAAATGTATAATATTATATATTTTAATGTCTGAACTCTTTATTCCCTAGTGTAAAGGAATAAAGTTAATATTATAATGTGATAAAGTAACTTTTAAAAAAGATTTTAACTCTAAGAGAATAAGGAACAGAAAAGATATGCCGCATAAGGAGAATTGTATTTAGTATTGTTTACATAATACAAAGAAGATAAATAATAATTTAAATTTTGTAGTGTGTAAAATATTTTAAATTACTGAATTGACTGCAATTTTAAAAAGTAACACTATATTGCCTTACCCAGGAACTGAGATCTGGCTAGCCATACAATCATGAAAACTGGTAGTAAGAACAACAGGAATATTAACATTAAGGAAAACCTTGCACCAAAAATGATTGGAGAGAATGTTTTTAAAGTGTCAACTTACAGGATCTAGAGTATTTAAGGAGATGAATGGTGTACCTTTTCAAATCTCATTATTTTATAAGCGATAGCTATCTTTCAAGATACAACAACTTATAGGTCTGGTCATAATGAGCTCCTATTTAAATCTTTACCCCAAACTCCAGAACATAACTATCAAGAGGACTACTACCAACTGAACTCAGAATTTTATACAATGAATGAATTTAAATTGAATGTGTGTGTGCATTGACAAACTACCCCCACTGACCACCAGTCTGTGCTGGGAGGGAATAGTGGAAGAAGAAAGATATATACAAGTGAAAAAAGGTGATACAGAAAGAGAAATATCTTGCTGTTTATAAATTTCTGTACATTTACATGTGGCAGCTTCAATCTTATTTTTTAGATTTAAATGAAAAACAAGCCACAAGAATTCAAATTATATAAAGAGCAAAAAGAGCTTGAAAAGTTAAACTTTAAAAAGGATGAAATTATTCACTTAGATCTGAAACTGAGGACACTTTGTTCTTTTTGGATTTATGTGAGAAAGTGAAGTGGTTAGAAGTGGTTATCAAAGCTGAATTTTGAACTTGACATCAAGACTGAACAACACAATCTCCTTGTTCATATTTACTCATGTAGCACATACATAATACTGAAATTACTGTACTGCTCCCTGAGAGATGCCTATGTAACCTCTAAAATCATCAATTGTATAAGTATTATCCCATGTTAAATACCCAAAACTAATGAGATAAGTGGCCAATTTATTTGGATCTAAACTTTAAAAATTAAATTATTGGCTCTTGGTGTTTTCATTGTATACATACATAAAAAGAATTGTCCAAGGTCATTGGACATTGGACATTACAATTAATTTTAAATTATCAAAATTTTAAATGATATTTATGTTGGGTATTTTGAGAAAATCTTTCTGTGCAAATGTCAATTTTCATTTTTCAAAATGGTGGCACAGCCATGTTTCATAAATAACAGTTCCATTTAACGGTTCGAAGTCATCAAAGTTTAAACTTCATTTCTTTTACAAACATGTCTTTTCTCTTAAAATGTAGAAAATGGTTGTTTTGGAACATCTTTCAAACACCTACACTTAAGTTCTTCCCAGTTAAGTCCAAAATATCTAGTCCTTTGTCCAGGCTGATTTATAGTTTAAGACCATAGTAAAGCCTTGGCCAGTGTAGCTCAGTGGCTTGAGCACAGGCTGTGTACCAAAGGGTTGCCAGTTTGATTCCCAGTCAGGGCACATGCCTGTGTTGTGAGCCAGGTCCCCAGTGGGGGCCACATGAGAGGCAACCACACATTGATATTTCTACCCCTCTCTTTCTCCCTCCTTTCCCTGATCTCTAAAAATAAATAAAATATTTTTTTTAAACAGACCATAGTATAAAAATAATAAAAATAAAATAAAATGGGGAAAGTTGCTACTTGTTTTCTCTTCATTAAATCAAAAAGTAATCAAAATGAACATGCTTCCTCTCTTCAAATGTGTGTGTATTTTGACCTCATAAAAACAGGAAAGTTAAGTTTACTTTATCTTTGGGTAAATTATATGAGATCACTAATCCATATAAAATTAAGTACACTTATTATATAATATCCACAGCAAATAAAGTACTTTATGTAAAGAATCTATATGTGTAGAGATTCCTTCCTTCAACAAAAAGAAAAAAATAGAGAGTATATATGTTTAGATCAACTTATTTGCCTTTATATTAATATATAGATTTAATTCTACACAAATTTTTTTCACCATCTTATTTTAATAATGTTTTCTGAAAAGTGAATTTATCTTTGTGTGCTGCCCTCTCTGTCAATTTCTTCCCAAGCCTCCACTAACTCCCGGCGTGCGTGCGTGTGTGTGTACGCCCACATGCCTTTACCTCCAAATTAAGGCAGGACTGCCGCTCCTTTTAAAAAGGCAGACTGTAAGTATTATAATGGGTAACTGTTAATTTCCCCTTATTATTTTTTCCAAGATGCCTGCCTACTGCATGTCACATACTTGCTTTTGAATTGTTTAGAACCAAATAACAAAATCATTTTGAAAAAATATTGAATTAGGTGAGAGGGTCCAATGATTTAGAACTGACACAATAGGTTTTGTTGAAACAAGAAGACAAGAAAAAGCCCTAAGATGCCTTTTTTTAAAGTTGGAATGGTTTTTAAAAATATCCGTTTGGCATGTATTGCCATGTTATATATTGTGATTCCATGTTATAAAGGGTTATTAATAAACTTAATGGAATTATTTTAACTAAACTAAGTAAGGTTTTGGAATGAACTTTTTCCAACTCTATCTCTCATATAAAGTTTATATAAACCTGTGCAACATTCATTTTATTTTAAAATCTGATGGCAGGGGTTTGAGAAATATAACATTAAATAAAAATTATGTTTATTAGCTTTCTCCTTCTGCCATCTACTTTACTGATTAATTCCACAGTTAAGACGTTAAGAAGGTTACATTAAGGTTTAAAATGCCAGCTCACTATAACATGCACTCTTTGAGGCGCAGCGATGAGGAGTTTCCACTAAAAACAAGCTGTGCTGCGCCCTCTGCATGTTACAGTCATGGAAAAAAAGAGCTGAACGACACGAAACGAATGCAAAAGGTAAAGATACATTTGCATAAGGAATGTAAAAATCTTTCTTTTTTTAGTTCAAAAATGCAAGCGAACAAACTCAACAATGCATTTATTCCTGTATGCCAAAACACAGTGAAGAAATGCTATTCCAGTAAAGATGAATTCAAAAGTAAACATCATGGTACTTGCGTAGCCATTTTTCCAATGCAAGATTTTCTTAATCGACATTGGCTTCTATTGTAAACGGCTCATTCCACAGAGCAATGCTGATGGAAAAGCTGATTTTTTCTGTCGCACTGCTTGCCAAGTATTTTGAACTGACACCGGCCTTGACTAATGACAGTGCTGGAATGTGCTGTTCTCAGTAGAACGGAGGCCCATACAGACCTAGGAGTGTCCTGGGGTCCAGCTTCTGTCCGTCCAGGGGGTTGGTGCCATACAATAGTGAGTGATGTTCAGAATGAACAAGCTGTATTTCCTCCAGGCTGGCTTTTCGACCTTGAATCCGCTGAAAGAAAACAGCAGAAGCCTACCTTACTCCACTGACAACATTCAGAAGAAAATAAGGCCCCGAGTCACATTTAAGATGATTAATAATGGGCTGAGTTTCATCATGTAGGAATGTGACACTGATTTGCTTAGTAAAGTACCATAATAGTATTTGAAAAATGAGAGTATGCAAGGTTCAGAATCAACGGCTTGCTTATGCCTCAATGGGCAATTGACATAAAGCATATTCTTCTGTAGCATAAAAAAAACCTATAACAAAGAAGTCAGTAGTGGCCTCCTTTGTAAAAGTATCAGCCTAAAAGCAAATGGGGCCTACTGTTTATCTGGGAAGTAAATTCATCAGCATCTTATTTTACACTCACCTAAAAAAGTTGTTGAAACAAATTCCTCATAGTTTCTTAAAGGACTGAAGGCAATACATTTTAATGTATTTGATTATAACAAATATGCTAATTACCCCATGCATGTGTAGCTCACAGTAGTGTTAATGTGGACTAATGTCACTTGGAGTGTGTCCTATGGGACCAGTAACAGCTCAGAATTGTTTATGAATGGCCCGTGATGAGATATGTGTAGAGTTCAAAGTGAATGTTCAGAAACTTTTAGAGTAACTTGACAGAATATTTTCATGTCTGTTGAATCTAATATAATCGTTTATGTCTTTGGTTATATTTTACTTTTGTAATATTTCACTTTTAATGTATTTATAAAAGTATTAGTTTGTAAGAGGGTGGAAATTAAACAAAAATGATAGCCACTGCTTAACCAGACATTCTAGAAAGTCTGAGACACTCTAGACTCAGTCCATGTTTTGGCACACATGCTAGGCACAGACTTTCATGTCAATTAAGAAACATGGTCATTCAACATAGACAAATCCATATGTTAAGTTACAGCTCAGTTAATCAACATGCCATGTGTTCTTCCTAGCCACATTTCTCAGTTCGAATATCTGCAAGCCCAATAAACATCATATTGATGTATGAAATGAATTAGCCTAACTTTTGAAAATCACTGTGTTCCCTAAAATTACCCAGACAGAATTATTATTTTACTTAAAACATATATCACAACAAGGCACTTGTAAGGCGGTATACTAGAAGAAAACTGTGACAGTGAAATTCAAAGAGAATTTGTTCAGAGAATGCTGTCCTGTCATGTTTCTGACCATGGCATGAGCAGTTGACATAGAAACATCAGGCGACAACAATACCTCTCTCTGGACCAGGACAGTTCCATAGTCAATCTCCCTAATTTAAGGTGATGTGGCTGCTGCTGAGGTGTGACTGTCTGAGGGAGCAGGCCAGGAAACCTCAATTTACTGACACTTGCTAGGGGTTGACTGGGTAGAGGGCAGGGCTGTGCTTGTCACAGAAAATAAGTCACATAACAGTGAGAGAGGAGCAGTGGGAGACCCATGGGGTAGCAGGAACCTAACGGGAATGAGAGAAAACAGAAATTTCTTGACACTGTGGCATTATGTGCCAAAGAAACAAACAAATGCTTATGGAATTTTCTTTGTCATAGCATTGAAGTTCCCTCTTTTTGACACCCAATTTACATTTCTAGAAAAGTAAAAATATGTGTCAGAGAAATGACTCCCAGATAGGCGTTGAATATTGAAATTCAACTGGGTAACTCATGCTGAAGACCAAGGCAAATTGAACGATGGCCATCTGGTCAGTCATTGCTCTGATCAATAAATGCACATGTTATTGATCTACACGCCTTGATGGTCAGCACTAATTTTGGAAATGTTTATGGAAGACCAGAACAACCAAAGCAATAGAATGACAAGAAATGAGATAAAATTAGGAAGCAAAAGTTCAAAGTCAGTATTAAAGGAAAACATTTTAGCTGTGAGATTTCAGCTTGTGGAAAATCCAAGAAAAATAGTGGTAAATCTAGGGTCTGAGTCACCTAAAATTGGAATGAGCAGAGCCTTGGAAACCGTGCCGTGGCAACCAGTCTTATCTGGCAGAATAACGAACACCATGAAATATCAGAGCTTCCTGCTTTCATTTCTATGATACTAAGCATTCCATAGCCACTAACATCTTATACACTGATACAGTGAAACATCTATGCCTTAAATAATGTGAGTTCCATAGCTAATAATCAGACCCACATTTTGACTGATATCATAAATTTTCATTGATTTTTTCCCTTGTTCCTTTTCTATAAATATATTTTACCTCTAAATTGAATTTCTGCCTCTAGGGTGACATTAAATATCATTAACCAGAAATGTATCTTTATATTTTCATTAGCTAGTCATAGATATTTGTAACCACACACTCTGAGCCTGCCTCAACTCCTTTCTCATTCTCACTCACACATTTGAAAAAAATAATCTGCTAACAAGATTCAATGATTGACAGGGGCTCAAGTGCTGACAAACCACAAGAGTACACCTGCTGAATTGAATACCAGTCATCCCTTTATGTAATATCAGCCGATCAACGGTAAAGATAGAGGATCTAATCTAGCCCGGCCTATTTGACATGTATTTATTCTTAGAGTATGCTGTCCCAGTTTAAACTCTTGTCCTCCTTGTCACTATTAAAATGTAAGTTTATTTTCTTGCTCTGATATCACTTTTTCCCCTTCTTTACTTGGATCTGGAGAAAGGATCTGGAGAAAGGATGCTTTGAGATTAGTATCTCACAGGGGCCGGGCTATGGCAACCTGAAGGGTGACTAAGCTAAACAGTCTGAAATGGCCACAGCTCTCCCTTCTCCTCAACCGGTGGAGTCTCTTGGAGTCCTCCCACGTTGCCTCACTGTTATCAGCCATCTCAGATTTGTCAGTTTCGTCTTCCCTCTCCACGTGAGGTCTCTAACAGTTTTCATTCTCTGGTATCATCATGAGTTATTTGTTATGTTACGTGTCTATGCTTAACTATAGATATTTTTGTTTAATCCCTTCCCATATTTCTATTTCCGGTGCGCCCTTTTTCCCTTCATTTCTCTCTCATGATGCTCTCTTGAGTCAAAGGTCAACAGCATAATGAGTCACAAAGTAGGATAAAGTGCTGTGATAATTGTAATTTAGGGACATCGTGATTTCCGTTCTCAGAGATATTTAGTCTGCAGGATGTCTCTCTACAGTCATCCATGATTCCCACCAAAAGGCTTTTTGAGAATCCTGAGTATATCTGGAAACACAACACATGGAAGAGAGGGCACTCATTTGATTATTTCTTGAAGTCTGACTTGAGATCCAAATACAGGTCCTAACTACCTTGCTAACATAGGCCTGGGAACAAAAGTTTACAGCTCCTCTTTCATGTTCTTAATAAAGAAACCCTACAACGCAGGATGTGTGCGCTATGCTATTTCCATCCTCTGTGACGCCCCCTTGGGCAGTGTCTTCCCGACAGTCAGAAAGGAACTCTGTGCATGCAGTGCCTACTCTGTGTGAGCACCTGGGAAGCTTATTCTGTTCGGAACCCCAGTCCACATTCCCGTTTGAAGTTCGACCAAAGTAGCTTAAAACAACCATATCATTGAGTCTCACAAGACACCATGGTTCTTTCCTGAAGAAATAGTCTTTCTGAAATAAAGCCCATTAATGCAACCTGATTATAGTAGGAATTTTCTGAACATGGCCTACAAAGTCATACTGTGGCAGGATGAAATGCAGCCTGCCCGCACCCACCCACACACAGAGCACACACACGGTATAGATTCATGGTTTTTTTTCCTGCCAAGGCACAGGGAAAAAAGGAAACAGTTCTATTCCTTCCCCTCCTGTGTTCAAAGCCTGGATTGAGGCCAGTGTCCTAATCAGTTCTCATTGGCCCTGGAGGAATCAGAACCTTTTGTAAAATATAATAAAGGGCATAAAATCATGATAAAATGCATGAAAAAGCAGTGCCTTTGGTTAGGGAACTAGAAATAATTTAGCAGAACAGATGGGTTGCATTGGTTTGGTATTATTGAGGACATGAAAGGGCTCATTTTGCGGCAGTTCCAAACTAAGAGAAAATGTCCAACTGAAATCTGACAAGTCAAAGTACCTGCCTGTGCTGGGGGAGACCCCATTTTCTTTAATCATTTTCAAAGTGGTGACATATTAGGCAAGAATTTCCATTGAAATATCTCATTTTCTGAAAATATTTCACCCAGTGTCCCTAAACAGAGAGATGAGTTTTTTTTTTCCCTACAAAAATCCATAGGGCTGCAGACTTACAGAATAAAAGTGTCATAAATAACTATTGAATGTCAAAGTTACCCTTTGTTACAAACTCCATACTTGATATTTCGTGAATCAGTTCATGGCCTGTTCATTAGTCTTCACACGCCTTCTCTCTTAAACACATACAAAATCTGGTCTCGTGCATCTGCCCAGGTGTACCTACTGGGGTTTTTAAATACTAGAGACAATTGCTTCTTTAAATATTACATAAAAGAGAGTTTTTATCCCCTCCTCCCCAACTGCATTCTCTCCTTCCATATATTTGGCATCATCTAATAGCCTGTGCCCCTCAGAACTTGCTGCTAGAGAAACGGTGGTGAAAATGGGAAGGAGGCCTGCAGCCCAGCAGGCTTTGGTCCTTTCTTTTGGTCACATGGAAAGAAAGTGAATTGTAAGTCAGGAGTCCTGAGTTCTGGGTTCTGACTCTCCTGTGTCCTTAATGTGCCCAAAGCCGGCTACGAGAGACCTGTTGGGGCCACTGCTGCTTCACACCCAACTGTGAGGAGGTATGACCAAATTAGTGCAAGCCCCCCTTTAGCCCCAAAATAATAAGATTCTATGTGAAATAACCTTAAACACAGTAAAAACTCAATAAAATGCCCCTTATTTTGACTTATAGGTTTGCTTTAGGCAAGCAAATATAATGACTGAAGTGATACATAACGATGGTTGAGGCACAAGAGATCTATGAGGGTTTTCACAAGGACCCTATTCCTTGAAGCCTATTTTTTATGAACTTAATTATAATTGAAAAGTAGGAGTAACTTTTAATTCTTAGACTGTGACAACTAAAATAAT